TATTCTCTTCGTTGAAAAACTTCGATTTTCTTCTCATTTACTCGGGTGCTTCGTTCATAGGGGAACGGCAAAAGAGTCGGTGGTTGTCCTTCACTCGATCGAGTGCGACTGCACGTAGTTCGACACTTCAGATATGAATATGTGGCAGGGAAGTTCACCTCATGCCGCTCACCTGGTTTTGAAAAACGAAATCCAACACTTCGTTAAAACGTGATCTCGATGTGAGCTAAAAGTATCTGACAATAAATGCGCAACAATTCAAACGGGAAATTAGCCAGATGACGTTTCTGTGATAACTAACATCATGCACATTCACCATGTATCAGAAATTAGTGATCCGTAGATTCCTTGTCCAACATGCATGCACAACTGGTCAGACTTCATGAACACTGGCAACTCTTAGATCTCCAATGACTGTAAAAAAAAAACTGTTTGGTTTGTCTGCGGGCAGTTCATCAGTAAGCGATTAAATCGACATCCTTCCACCGCTCGTATAAGTATAGATTAACTAAAATCAACAATGACTTCAAGGCATATAGTATATATTCTTTAAAATTATCTTCAGTTAAACGAATTCAAACGTACAAATTGGAGAATTGCGGTAGAATAGGAGACGTGAATAGAAAAAAATCTCCACACAGTCCATGGGTACGTACACAAATCAATGTACCTCTGTTAGAATCCAATCCAAGCAAGGACACGAATCTGACAAAATCGAACAACAAAACCAGATAAAAAAGACCTCTGACAGATGACCGCAGAGTTGATGTTGACCAAAACAACCGATAATGTACATATACGCGCACGAAGCAACCAGGAGCATCAAAAGGGAGAAAATGACGAATGTGCACAAAACGTAAGAATACAGCCACCACAATCTGACCGGATTCGCAAATAACATGCATGTATTGCGCCGTATTTGACGTTGTTGGCTTGGGTAAAAGAAGAGAAGGTTCATGTACCGGTGTGATTGGTTAACTCCACTATTCATTAGACAAAGGTTTGTACGGAAAATTACCGTTGATACTGAAATTCCATGGAATCGGATATGAAGAAAACAACCGTGGAGTCCGAAAGCAAACTGTACAGGGGGAAATCCCCGACTTCGCTGTAGTCACCCAGTACAATGTCTTCAGCATTCTTTTACGCCAGGAATCAGAGTAGGTAACGTTCACAGAGGAAACCCCGTTCAAGACCACGAAGGACGGTCCATTTTTACGATTCAAGTTATGTAAAAAGACATCGTTGAAGAAGCCTCAGTTGGGTCTAGAATAAGTCCGGTTGTCAGGTGTTTAATATCACTTTCAGGAGTAGTATCATAAACTCGTCAAAGTTATCATTTTGATTCAAACAGTACTTAAACTTACATTTTTAGTGGGAAAGACTTACAAGCAGTTACTTTCCACGTCCCATAGATTTTTGGCACAGGCGAATCAAGTGATCGATTAAAGGAAGATGAGGAGTGGCACAAAGTTTTACTATTTCGTGTATTGCTATGGATATCCAAATTTTAGACATGATAATGATTCATCTAGTCTCCGCTTCAAATCAATTGCGGGCACCGGCACTTGATTGAATAAGGAACTCCAAATAATGGACACTCTGAAGGTACACGGATGACGCCGTTATTCTAAACGGCATCCCCCTTTGGGAGCAGTTCATAGCACAGATCAAGTCGTCTTGAACGACGACACCAAGATCCTTCTCATTTGAGGCCTATAGAAGTTGCTCGTACCTGAGTAAATACGGCATCCGATCTTTCCGACAACAGTATATTTCTGTGAATTGAATTCAATGTCAATTTCGACCGACCATTCATAAGTTCCGTTAAGTGTTGTCTGAATTGCCAGCAAGCTCTCTGCATTCCACACTTTTTCATTAATTGCAAACATAAACGTTTCTGGTTTCAGAAAGCCCGTTCGATCGTTTGGGAAAGCTAGAAAAAGTTGAGGCTCGCTTGCGGATCCCCGTGGAACCCAATGGGCTATGTTGATGATATCAGACATTGGCCCAGAAACCCAAAGAAGAAATTGTTCTATCCAACTCAATGATAGCTCCGAATTGCATAACTGTCAAATTTCTCAGCAGTATTTTGTGGTTCACACGATCAAATGCCTTGAAAAAGTCGAGATACCATCACCATGATCCACAACGTGATGTCCACTCATCTCGGTTCAGATGCAAGTCAGCGGTACAAGAAAGCTTGCGGAGAAACCATGTTGCAATGGGGATAAAAAATTGCATTTTTTCAAGTAACCCATAAATTTGTCTGCACCAGTGCATTCCTTGACTTTGGAAAAAAACGAGGAAAGTGACGGGGCGGTAATCAGCCAGGCCACTAAAACAGTTGCCTTTGTAAGGAAGTGAAGTTATTTTTTTCCATATTTGCGGAAACAAAGTATGGTGGGACATACGTTCACTTGGCCCATCAATATTACATTTTTTATTACACACCAGTGCGTGTGGGGGCGGACCCCATATTCACGAAGATCTGCTGTTCAGTGAAGGTAACCGGCAACATAAGCCCCGGGGCTTGGAGTGGCGAACCACACAAGGCTCCGCTAGCTCAGGTGTGGTATAGAACCGGCCGACAGTAAAGCTACCTACAACTAACGTTGGGTGGCGATGAAGGGGCTCAAAAAGTTGTTCTAGGTATCCAGCGAAGCAGAAAGTATCGCGAAAATGCACTGATCGTGCTTTGATTGTACACAGTCCATTGTTGCACTGACAGATGCGAGGATGTCCATTAGATTTGGTGAAGGGCACCGCGCTCAGATGTGACGGAATAACTGAACCAAGATACGTATTTGAAACTAGATAGCTCCCGAAGAGCTTGCTGTTGCGAGCGCTTGAACCGCAATGCCTCTCACAATTAGCGGGTCATGTATAAAAGGCACTTTATTATTACCTGTAGGTTTGCAGGCGGCAATTAACATTTGTATGGCGGAATCCTGTTTGTCTTAGGTATGCAAGGGATATTAGACTGTTCAATAAAGATAAATTGGAGCGTTTTTCACGGATGGCTAGTCCAATTTGTGGTTTCAATCTCCGTTAGTATAAGACAGGGACAATTTTAACAGGTTGTGCACGTTGTGGGCGATAAATGAACAGATACACCCTACATTACGGTGATGCGGTACAAAGGAATAAATGTTCGTCTGCTGAACGAGAGAAAGAAAATTTATATTCCATTCCCAGTTGTCACTCACCCTCAGCAAAATGATCTTCCCACAACTGGCAGTCCAACGCGTTCACGTGATCACGCCAACAAGTACCATCGGGTTGGAACGATTTGGACAACCGATCCAGTGGACCAGAAAAGTGACTAAACAAAATACAAATATAGGATTACATTTAGTCGGGGGGAAAGACAATATGAGGGAAATGTATGAGTGCAACTGGAAGAGGAAAAATATAGTAAACGAGGAATGATTTATGAACACGCCAAAATGGCGTTTGATAAAAACTAATCAAAACTACCCAGATGCGAAGTAGAAATACACACATTTCGATCATAAACAGCACTGCGGACGCTCGGCTTTACATAAAGTTTATCGTACTGAGGTCTTTGGTGAATTGCTGGCCTCAAGCTCCACGTTATTGATTACCACAGGTGAACAACAGATCCCCATAGTGGACGGATACCCAACTTCTGCAATCTAAGCATATCCTTTCCACTATAAAATAGAAACGATCTCATCATATAATCAGTTGATCACATAAAAAGTAGTACATCTGAATGGACACTTAAAAATATGCATTTTCTACTCTTCATGTTTGAACACGTCACAGTTAAGACAGGACCAAATATGCAAATGAAACAGCGATTTCGATCAAAATAGACCTCGTTTGTATCGTGTGTCAATAAGCAACCAAATGGCGTGCAAACGAATGATTGCGAAAATGCATAATCTATATTTTACCCGGTAGGATAGTTTAGTGAGATAAAGTACACTGGCGAACGAGGTGATCCCGACATCGTTTAAGTGATGAAAAATGCAATTGTGAACCCAGATATTTGTGATGATCCTAATAGTGAGAAAGAGACAATATGATCTAAATAAAAACTGCTAACAGAGTCAGACGGAATCGGATCTGTGTTATCTAAAATCCAACGAACATTAGGTAA